AAAAAAAAAATAAATAAAGGGGGGGGAGGGATCATCTTAGACAACCAGGGCCAGAAATATCTGAAATTTCACACTCAATTCATGAATAATAATTAAAAAAATCTAAAAGCCCTTTAGAAATATAACTTCCCAACCAGAGTTTTAAAGGGACAATATAAGGTACTCAGAAATAGTATCTGAAATAGATGTTTCAAACCTAGTACTTTGTATACAGTAACCAGTAACTCCTAAATGAATTTTTAGTCTACTCTGAGCCAAACTGTAATACTGTTTTTAACTGCCCATTTCCTAACATACTCTCATATGTTGTGTAGAACCCTGTAACTCAACAAATAAAACAATTTTATTAATTTAGTGGAATTTCTGCTTTAAGAGAGAATCTGCTAACCTGCCGGCCTATCTTCCTAAGAAAAATCTAGTCATAATGCCACAGCTTACTTCCTTTCTGTAGTCTTGCTCTGGGTTACTCACTGGCACTACATGAAAGAATGACGTACGAAAATTCCAATTTACAACTTGAAATCAGGTCAGTGGCTTTTATCAAAGGTCATCACCAAAGTATTTTCTATCAATTTAGGTCTGACTTTCTATTAGCCAAAACCTGTAGGGAGCTTTTGCAGCAATTCTAGTATGTGAAATTACAGTTGCTAGACACACACTGTACTGGTGCTTAATTCTATGATGTGTCATCATCTGCTAAAGGCAAAAATAACAAAGGACTAGGAGCTCCAGAATTCATTCCCATCTGATAGATAGCCCATTGAAATGAACAGCCTGAAAATTCTGTACAGGCTGCCTCGCCCCCACTCCCATAGAATATACCTGCCAAGTGTATTCGTCACTCATAAACTGCAGCTGCTCGTTTATAACTGAGTCAAAATCATAAACAGGAGCAAGGAAAGTGTGTATGATTTGCTAAAACTGAAAAGGAAAAGTATTGAATACTGAGAAAAATAAAGCCACTTGGGAAATTCCTTTAAGGTCCATTGAAACTCAAGTTAAGAGGTTTTTTAGAGTGGAACAATAACTTAACCAGGCCATTCTTTAGATTAAAACACCAGCCTATGGCTCCACAGTGGCGCAGAGGTGTCACACTGCTCTCTGATGCTGGGGCCATGTGAGAGGGCTCCCAGGCCAGGGTCCTGAGGTCTCCCTGTGCATACTGGACTCAAATCGCACATGCCTGTGATCTTAGCTGAGGGGCTAGGGATAGACTGCAGTGTGGGGACCCTGTTAGGGGTGCCTATCTCTCTCTCTCATGGAGGAAGCACATAAATAAACAAAAAAGCTAAACAAGCCTCGGAAGGGCAAATAAAACTATTTTTTAAAAATCTTGGAAATGGGGACCAGCAGATGGTGTAATGGTTAAGTCATTGGACTCCCACATGGTTGACCGCAGTTTGAATGTTGGACTCAGCAGCTTGAAACTCATGCTGGGCCTAAGTGCATGCGTGACCAAAATTCTAAGCAAAGAATGGAGGAGAAGGGATTGTGGTGTGGCCATGCTCCCTGGAGGGTGATTGCTTGCTTTCTGCTTCTCTTTCTCTCTCTGTCTCCAGTAAGAGCACATGACCTATAGCAAATCTCTCTCTCTCTCAAAGAAAAAAAAAAAAAATCTTAGACATTAAATAAAAGCAGGGCTAGCAGGTGACATGGTGGGTAAGGCACTGGATTCCCACATGGCCCACTGCAATTCGAGTTCCAGGCCCAGCAGCCTGAAAATCACACATGGACATGTATGTGTGCATGCCCAAAGTCCTGAGAGGAGAATGGAGGAGAAGGGACTGCAGTGTGGCCATTCCCCCAGGGGGTGATTTCTCACATTCTATGTCTCTGTCTCTGGTGAGCACAGGTGCCTTATGGCAAAAACCTGAAGAAAAAAAAGAAATGAAATAAAAATAAACTTTTGTTTATGACTACCAGTAAAATACATTTTATCTGCAAGTCAATAAAATAAAACAAATGTTCTTTACTGTTTCCTATAAAAAAAAAAATTTAAGTCACACCCTGATAAGACTATCATAACCTTGTACAAATGTTTGACAACTACATTGATCTTCCTCCTAGAAAAATGTAATTTCACCTTAAAATTTATATTGTATTAAAATTTTTAAAAAAGGTAATTTTTTTTTCTTATTCCTAGAAGTTGACTCACATTTTTATTTGGTAGGAACTTAAGATGTTTGTCTCTTAAAGAATGTTGGGTATGGAGTTACTATTTAAGACCTTGATAATGTAGCAGGTCCAAATTCTGAGCACAGAGAGAATACAGACACGGCTGAGTGAGCAGTGCCAGGTCAGGAGGCAAGGCGGTTTGCTGAGCAGTCTGGTGAACTCAGTTTTAGGCCTGAACCTAACCACAAGCCTATCTAAATAGTTCTATTTGACTTCTGTTGACTACGTGAAGTTGTCATTATTAAAAAGTCTAATAATTTCTTAGAAATTAATATTGACTATGAGTTCACAAAAACAGACTCAGGGCTTTCATAAATGAATGACCAAAATGTGAGTTACTTTTTATGAGTAATGGCCAAAATGTGAATTACTTTTTGTGAGTAACACTCTGAAAAGACATGGAATACTTAAACTTACAACATGGGAATATAATTTATAAATATATAAGTATATGATTATAATATGAAAAATATTACACAGTTTAGAATATAAATATGACTTATCATATGATAGACACACATACCCCAATAGAAATTAACTAACTGAGGAAGAATTAACATTTTAATACTACCCCAACTCTAAATAAGTTAATATGGTTTGTATTTCCCTCCAAATAAATATGTATCATGCATGGCTCATCCTGTTTTCATTTGGGCTTAGTTTCTAAACCTTAAACTGAATTCTATCGTGTGACATAAAAAAATAAAATAGAAAGACACTAGACATCCACGTCACACTAGTCGTCATCATCAATGGAGAATTTTACAGAACACAGCCTCTGGCCTCATCAGGTGGAAAGTCAGAACTCGTACAAGCGTTTATCATCTAATACAGCATGCCTTCTATGTCAGAAATTCTGCCAGAAGTCTGTTTTCCTATCCAATCTGAGAGCCAAAAAGTAAAAAGTACTTTCAATGAAATCATTGACTACTATATCAAAAGGTAATTTTATTACTCAAAGAATAGGTCATGGAGTCAAACGTTAATTTCATATAACTCACTTGTTGATGGTTCTTCCAAAAGTGACCTGAACGAGAGCAATTAATGTTCTTCTCACCCATTTAAACACTAAAATATAAATCAGAGGGAAACTTTCATCAAAGGATATCACAAACGACATTTGTATTGATGTGCAAAGCATACGTCTTACCACTTAATCCCATCTGAGTCCTGACATCAACTGAAGGCTATGTTATCTGCAGAATTTAGGTCTAGGTTAGTAAACTTCTGCTCAGAAAAACTCTTGTGACTATGCTTTCATGTTCTACAAAACAAATGATGAAATGAAACCTAGGAGCTTTCACAGATTTTCAATGCATAACAACAGCTGAGCTAGCAAGTAGAAATCATACTTTACTTCATATGTCCCTGGGCTACTGAGTGAGTCTGTTTTCCACTAACAGATGGCAGTTATTTCTATTTTAACTTTGTCTGGCTTGCTGAACCCGATTTTCTAACATACCGCTCTGAATGAGAAACATCTGTCATCACTGTTGACAAATATTTTGAAATATTAATGAACTGATGGACACAGTGGTGAGTAGACCACATAACTTTCATATATCGTGTGTGTGTGGAGGGAGAAAGGTGAACTGTGAAGAGCTAGGGTCCTGAATAAGAGGCGACTTCAGCAAGCTCCGAAAGCAGCAGGACAGCAGCCACCTCCCTGAACCTCGGTTACCTCCTCAGGAAACGACAGGGTTCACATGTGCTTGTCTGTTGCTCCGGGCGTCTTTGTGTGTGAGAAAGAACTGTGAAGGGTTCTCCAGATCTAAACTTACATTATTAACATGGAGACATATTTTTATAAGTATAGAATATGAAAATAACCAAAAGAACACACAAAAAAGTTATAAAGATGTTTTAGGTATACAAGTCGGAATCTAAACTGAATTTTTCATTTAGATATTTCATCTCCATTCATGGAAAAGCATGGCGACCAACACATGAGAAAATGAGACTTGACTCGGCTGTAATGAAGCCAAGAGTTCCAGACTCCTGCTCCCAAGAAGAAAACCCAAAAGGAGCAAATTCAGAAACAGGTCTGTAAAGGGCAGCCACACAAATAAAAATCATCAATCAGCACAGACTTGGGGACCACGGTTCATTACATTACAAAGCCAGTTCTAATTTTTCAAATGGACCTAAATGTCCAGTTAAAGTAGTACTAGTTCTTCCAGTAAAAGTCAAGGTTTGGATTCAAAGCCATGCCTCAAAACCATGCCTTAAGCTTCTTGCTGGAATCTGCTGGGATGCTGCCAAGAATGGAAACTGGTTCATTTTAGGCTGGCATTTAGGCTAAGAAGAGCATGTCTGCTACTGGTCATAATTTCACTCTGCCTTTTTAGGGTAGGGAAGATGTAGCCCAAACCGAGACAATCTGAGGAGAAGTTCAACTCTAGGAAAATGCCTGACAGCCAAGTGGTTATTAAAAAAAAGGCTATTATTGCAGTTCCTTCTTATATACTGAACTAGAGCAGGAATCAAAACTAATTTTGTTACAAATCCTCTCCGATCACAGGTACCCCTCTTACTCTACTACTTATTCCTATCCTTCCTCGATCCCAGCCACACCCACACACAAAATAGCCCCATTACTCCTCCCAGTGTCTCGTTTGTTCAAATATGCAGAGGCAGCTGCAGCAGCACTAGGAGTCTGCTGATGGCAATACATGGGCTCTCTTTATAAATGATGTTCTATTTATTCCTCTCTGAAATGTCACCAAGAAAACCAAATAAGCTTCTGCGCAGGCATATGATGGAAATGCATGCTGTAGAGGTAGAATTTTGATTCCTGCTCTGGCTGTGGCTGGCTCTGACGTCTCTACCATGTCTCTAAAGTCTCTCTGTATCTGCCACAAAGAACACATGGACAAATGAACAGTGCTTCCTCATTTTTATCAACTCTATGGGAAATTGGGAGGATTCATGACTTCATAAGCCAGATTTCACCAAAAAAGGTCAGACTTTGGGTGGAGAGCTATTTTTTTCTTCCTACTATATAATAAGTCAAGTTAACATCAGTGTGTATCTTTTATTTATGTATGTGTATGTGTATATATCTGTGTGTGTATGCATATGTATATACACACACACATAAACATAGTTTGATATACAAAGTTTGATATAGAGTGCATGCACTCACTGGACAGAGAGACAGAAAAAAAGAGAGCCATACTGTAATCCCTTTTCCGCTCTCCTCTTGGGATTATGGGTATGCAAGCACACGTACTCAGCGTGTTTTCCAAGCTGCTAGAACTCGAACCAAGCAGTCGACCATGTGGGATCGAGCCGCCTTAACCACCATGCCACCTGAATGGCTCTATCAGTGTGTATTTTAAAGTTTCTAAAATATGGAAAAGCTATAGTTTTTACACCTGGAGGGATTTTTGATATTTGGATGATATTCTATCATATAAATACATATTTCTTTAAAAATTTAACTATCCTCCATTTTTAAGGTTGATCTTCATTCCAACTTTATGTATTGAAATTAAGCTAAAATGAGCATCTTTATATATAATCTCTGCACAGAGGTTAACTGTTTAATTTTGTCTATTTTTTTAAGAGGTGTTTGCCTGAGGGTGCATGTGCTCTTTGGAGAGAGAAGGACAGACACAGTAAAAGGGAAAGTGAGAAATCACCTGCGGAGATGACCACACCAGAATCCCTTCTCCTCCTGGGATCTTGGGCACAGATGCACATGTGCCCGGCATGAGTTTCAAGTCACCAGGTCCAGGACTCGAACTGCGGTTGGCCATGTGGGAGTCCAGCAACATAACCGCTATGCCATCTGCTGGTCTATTTCTTAATGCAAATTACATTTTTGGGCCCCTTATATTGTAAATTCACTGAAGGCAGAATCGTTAACTGAAGGCAGACATGTTTTTAGTTTCCTTATAGAACCAAATCTAAAATATAGGCCTCAGAGTCTTTACTGACTGATAGTACATATGCTCTTAGCTTTGGCTTAGGAGATGAAAAAGTTCAATGACCAGAGATAATTAATTTTGAGATTTAAAATTTTCTTTCCTATTCACTCATCAGTGCACCTATTCAGGCATTTTACTAACTACCCACTATGGGTCAGACACCGCAGTAGATACCAAGGATTAAAACACATGTAGGACATGTTCAAATTTGCAAAACACTTGCATTTTTTCACCTCTTTAAGTGACATGTGAAAGGATGTTTAAATGAGGAGGGATGTACAGCCCATCTCCTGTACAGTACTCTTAGCACACCTTCTTTCCCCAAGGGAAAAGGTGCTAATATGAATGGACAGAGTCCAGGAAATTTGTACCACAACATTTACTCACTAGTGGCATTACAGGGCCTAAAAGCCCCTGCTTTTCTCAGTGTTTCCTCTTCCAGGAAATTAGGTATACCTGCAGGTACCTGCCAGATCTCTTGTTAGAAGTGAGGCTTCAGGTATGACCAAGCATACTGGTCTCATAATGCACAGTGATAGGGGCTGTGATGAGCAGAGGGCAGTAAACTCTATCTACTCAGGACTCAAGACTAAGCCATGTAAGCAGTTGGCATAATGGCTATGCTGCTGGACCCCCATGTAGTCGACTGCAATTGGAGTCCCTGGCCCAGTGGCTTAAACTCACGCTGGGCACGTGTGTTTGCGTGCCCAAGTTCCCGAGAGGAGAATGGAGAAGGGAATGCAGCATGGCTGTCCTCCCTTGGGGGTGATTTCTCACTTTCTGTCTCTCTGGCAATCGTACACATCCTATAGCAAAAACCTCCAATAAAAAAGACTAAGCCATGTAGTCTGGTGTGCCTTTCACCAAAGTACTGCTTTGGGGAACACTATGCAGCTCTTAACAAAAGAGTCTTTTGATCCCCATTTTGCCTCAGTCTTCCAAGCACAGCTCCTTTAGGACTCACTCGGGAGGGCTTTCTCGGCTAAGCACTACTTGTCCTTTTGGACAGGAAAACTTGGGGAGGGGGTCAGGCGTCCTGTGCACTGCACTCCTAGCCTCTACCTGCCTACCAGTAGATGCCAGCCGAGTACTTCCCTAATCCAACTTGTGACAACAGAAAGTATCTCCAGACATCACCGAATGCCCTCCTCTCTCCACTGAGAATCACTGCTCTAGGAGAAAAAAGGCAGTGAAAAACGGGCCTGCACCCTTGGCCCTAAAACTACCCTAGCACCAAAACCTCACCATTAATTACGGGGTTCATCTTCTGCTATGCCGTGCACAATAATTTTCTGTACAACTTTTGGTGACAAGGAAATGAAGCTATATTGAATCACACAAAAAGAAATTAAAAGCATTCTATCTTTCAGAGAAATGTGGTGCAGGGTAAGTAAACCAGGACCCGGAGCTCCAGGAGTCCAGAGGTGACATCTGTCTTAAGGCTGTACCAACAGTACTTTGCATAATATTTGTTTGGCTCTTAAATATATCTGTTGAATGAATGAAGGCATGAACATAAATACACATCTGATGCATTTCAGGAACAAAGAGGCATTAAATGTGTTTGCGCTCTCATGCACATGCATGTGTACCACTTAACCCACAGACATTACTCAATAGTAACACAAGACTTACTTCCTCGAAGTTCAAAAATCTCCCCAATCAACATGAAACATGGTTCAGCCAAGGCGTCCTTCCTGCCATCCACATCATCACCGTAATCTGACAGGTCACTGTCCTCCTCTGCTTCCTCCTGTGAGGTGTAACAAAGGCACAGGAAGCAGATGACTCGTCTAAGCAGACCGGCAGTCATTCTCTCACTTCAAGTGTAAATGCCAAACTATCTGCTCATGTTTTAGCTTTATCATCTTCTACCTTCCAGAGAGAAATCTACTCACTTTCAATATGGAGGACAGAATGTATTTAAGCTCAGAGGATAAAGTTGAAAAATAAAAAATAAAAAGGGTATTAATAATTAGTGAATTGGAAGACAATAAAACAGTTTGCAATTATTATGAATTTTAAAACTAAGGCTTCTGGGACCAGCAGTTTATGTTATGGCTATGTCGCTGGACTCCCATGTAATCGACCATGGTTCAAGTTTCAGACCCGGTGGCTCAAACTCACGCCGGGTGCATGTGAGTGCATGCTCAAGATCCCGAGAGGAGTATGGAGGAGAAGGTACTGTGGTCTGGCCATCCCCCCAGGGAGTGATTTCTCACTTTCTGTCTCTCTGTCTCTCTCTGTCTTTCTGGTGAGTGTACGTGCTCTATAGCAAAAACTCCCCCCCCCCAAAAAAAGAAAGGCTTTTAACTTAAATTATTTTGATTCACTGTTTTCTTAAAATAAATTGTAAAGTGATTTAGTTATTTTTAAAGTGCCAATTTTAGCTTTCATTCTTCTTTAAGTTTCACTTCCTGATCTGCATATCGGCAAGTTCCAGTTCAAAACCCAGACTAATGCAAATGAGTATGACAGACTGAGCGGCCCCACACTGCAGGGGGATACACAAGTAGCTGCCTCTAAAGGGAGGACGAGTGCTGCCGCAGAGGCACAGACATTCGGCAGCAGATAGAGAACGAAGGCAGTTCATTCTAATGTCTGCACAGAGGTAAAAGCTCGGGCCGTAAGACCAAGCAGAAGGTTGGGAGACACTGGATGAACAGAGGAAACGCCAAGAGGCAGGAAGAGTTCCCTAAAAGTAACAGTTTCACAGAAGTCCAGCAACAGATGTTTCCGAGGCTGAGGAAGGTGAAGGTGAAGAAGGAGAGGAAACTATGGGATGTGGCCACCGGCACTCACCTCAGGATAATTCATAGTCACTGGGCCATGTATAAATCCGAAAGGGGTTCAATAAAAGGGAGGTCAAGAAGGAGGGCTGGGCAAGTACAGGCAACACGAGGGGAGGAAGTGGGAGGGAAGCCCGGGAGGGGAACTTGAGGGGAGCGGGCCACACAGGCACCTGCGCTGGGTGATTATACACGCTGTGGTGCATGTAGACTTGCCTTCCCAGCTCAGAGTGCAGCCAAGCAGCACGCTCCCTTTCACTCTCCAAACTCACTAAGGAAATCCTAGTAAAGTGGCAGTGACGTTTAGCAATGCACTAAGGAGAAGCCAAATTTCTGAGATGGTCTTGTGGAATTTGCTGGAGAGTCCAACAAGGGCCTCAGTGGCCTATATATACGTGAGTCAAGAGCCTACTCTGGAGGGAAGTCTGCAGTCCAGAACAGGGGACTCAAAGTGGCTGTGGTCTCTCCTACTCACTCCTTCACTCAGACACAGCACTGCCACATTCATCTTGCTTCAAAATATCCCATGTTCATTTTCTGAGAATAAAGTCTAAATCCCTCAGCCTGGCATGAACCATCCTCTTCCCCCTCTGCCTTATCGCCTGTGAGAGCACTATGGAAACCCTCCATTCTGGTCCAGTGACCTACTGGATGCCCCACCAACACCCTGCTCCCCTGCCTCTCCTGAACCTTGGGTACTCATCCAGCTCTTCCACAGTGACAGCCCTCATGGCTTCCCCATCCCGAGGACTGGCTCCTCCAGTGTGTGAGGGGCTCCTACAGAACCATCTCACCCACACCTCAGTTACCTACCATGTGACTCATCTTGATATTTCTGTACCTTGTGATTTCTGGGGAAAGGAGGAGTCCCCAGATAGGACCGCAGTAACAACCGAAAATGGACGTACTTGCTTTCCTCCCACCAGCAGCATGCTCAATACACACCTGTTACTCCAAACAGGCTTCAAAAGCTGCCAGCTTAAATACACTACAGAAGCGGCCCAGCATTCAGATGGCTCACCTCTTGGTGGGAGAAGAAGTCACGAGGAATTTTTTCCAAAAATGAAGATAATGAAAACGTGTTTTTTTTCCCCTGTACATCAATAACCTTGAGGTAGTCAGGAGAAGGGCTCAAAAAGGCATAAAGTGCTTCACTCTGACAGAGTCTTTCATCTGAAAGCAGATTCTGGGGAAGAAAGAGGATTCATTACTCCTTTACAATCAGTCTATAGAACACTATCTGTTTTGCCAGGAGCTACCACAGTAAATGCAAACAAGGCAGAGTTCTGATGGAAACTACTTCCCTTTCCCCCGCAAACTATGTAAGAGCATCTCTCCATGGTCTTAGCAGCAGACGATCCTCCCTGGCTAACTGGTAGTGCCCTGCTCGCTCTTCTCATGGAAGACAATGTACAGACAACAGGACTAACTCCATTTTGTACGCACGATGAACAAGAAAACTGTTACTCTGCATACAGCTCACAGATCCCAGGGCCACTGCCTTTGGCAGCCAACTTAACTTTCACTCATGTGTGGCTGAACAACTTATATTCTGCAAATTACATGAGTCCCACCAAGCCACCCTCCTATAGCTATGTTCAGACTTTGCACATCAACTCCGAATTATCACACAGTGTGACTGCCTCCTGGTCAGTAAGTTGGGTTTCCTTGTGCTGCCACCTACCAAGCAGTGCTCGTTTACACTCTTATGTAACTGTTTTCCTTGGCCCTTAAAGTGGAAATTTTCTAAAGTGCTGTACAAATTTATCTGGCCTCAGGAGAAAGGAGAGCAGAATATCAATCAAGTTTGTTTATGTACCAGCAAGTGCTATGGTAAGACAGTAAAATCAGCAGTGTGACCAGAGAATATTAAGTGTCTGGTAAAATACAGAGTGAAAGACCCAGTTAGAACTAGCACCCATTTATGGTGTACGTCTTAAATGGAGAAGACTGGAACATGGGGGGCTGGGGTCACAGTGGAGGTTAATTCTAGTCCCAGAAGGACTGGTCCATGACAATCATAATGACCTAACAAAGCCTATGGCCTCCCCAGAACGAACACCTTGGAGGGGGCCCATTACTGCCACCCTAGGGACAAGGGGTCCAACAGGTACCACCAGCATCCCAGCAGGTACCAGCTACATATATCCTGCAGAAGACTGGGCCAGACCATGGGCAGATCCTGCCTCAGGCACAGGGAAGGCACTTAAAGGGGTGGGCCATTATTGCTACTACTGCCTTTCCTGTCCCTGATAGTCAGTAAACAGGTCAAATTGCTTTTTTCTTTTTAATATTAGACGTTCAGTTGAGTTTGTACAGAAGAGTAGATCAGGAGGAGTGAGGGAGTGAGTTGTTCTCCCCACCTGATTTCCCTTAGTTAGCCCACACTCCAACCTTCCTTCTTTCCTTCCCTTCCTTCTTCCTCTTTCCTTCCTTTCTTCTCTCTTCCTTCCTTTCTTCATAATTTCCAAAACTCGGGGCGGGGGGGGTGGGGAACGACACACACATCCAAAGCACATCCCAGTGGAGTATGATCATATTGCAATCCCTTCTCCTCCAGTTCTCCTTCCTGCTGGGATTTTGAGCATGCATGCACACATGCCTGGCATGTTCTTCAAGGGACTAAACTGCAGTTAGCCATGTGAGATCTGGCTTCCCTAATCATCAGGCAACACAGTGAGCCCCATTCCAGCTTTACTGTATAAAATAACAGCTTATACTATTAATGGTAAATGTCAAACTTAATATAATCAATAAAATTATTAAGGGTGATAAATCTTTTGGCCTTAAATTATATTCTATTATAAATAACAAAATTAACTAAGTATGAAATGTTAGAAATGTCATCAAAGACTATGTCTGTGGGCAAAGTATAACAGATTTCATCATTTTTTAAGATCTCTGAAAACAAAATCCCATCCTCTACTCTGTCCTCTCCATCTCTCAAACATCCAGTGCATGTTGCTCTATTCTAGTGAAGACCTATGATGACTACCCAGTGAGTTATGGGACAAGGTACAAAATCCCAAGAAGAGCAAATGGCAATATGCACACCCAGGAGGAGGACACAGCACTCTGGGAGCAGATCCAGCAGAGCTGAAGTAAGTAAATGCTTATGTGGGGCACGGGGAAGGTGATAGGCAGGTAAGGCAAGACCCAAGTGCTGTATGTTTAAGAACGACTAGTCAAGACAGTGGCACAGTGGTGAATGAGATGCTCTGTGAGGCAATCCCACATAGGAAGGTTTTTGGTTCAAGTCAGAAATCTCTCTCATATACCAAGGACATGCTTGCCCATGGTATGAGACTGGATAAGGCCTGCAGATAGGCTACGGTGATAGCATCTCATTAGGGGTACTGTCTCTCTCTCATGGATGAAATAAATTATCTTTAAAGAGATTTTAAAAGATTTTAAAATTGACTAGCTAGGTCTAACTGCAGTAGCACTGCAGCAGCATACCACTCTGTTGGAGACACGTGGAAGATCAGAGTTTAGTTCCCAAGCCAACCTGCACATGCCAGACGTATGTGTGTGTCTATGATCCTGGCTAGCTGGGAAGGCTGTGGGGAGGATTCCAGTGTGAGGCACTGAGAAGGTGTTTGTCTTTCCTTTGTCTCATGAACAAGAAATAAACTTAGGGGGAAAAAAAAGAATAACTAGCTAGATTAGTAAATGTCTCTGTTATTCATATGCCTTGGTAGGGATCCCCATGCCATAAGTAAATATACAATCAAAGAAATCCTTTCTTCTGGAAGATTCTGCATATATAATAATAGCTGCCTTTCAGACTAATCATTTTGCATCTTGCTTTTCCTGTCTGCAGTTCTGGGACAATACATTTGAAATTAGAATTACAGTCTGCAATGTAGCATATCTAAATATACTGAATAGTAAGCTCTTTCAAATAAAGTATTTAGGAGAATAAAAAAATGATTAAAATCATTACTTCCTGATCTGAAAGGCTACCAGAGAGCACAGCTTGATCTGGCTTAGCTGCAGATTATGCTTGCTTTTAGCCATGCTCACATGACCCAGCAGCCATGCACCAGTGTGCATGCTTCTCAGAACTCCATAACCAATTCCATCCCTGGTCACCCAGTAAGACAGACAGACAGAAAGACACACACATACACACACATGTTCCCACCCTCCTCCCCCAAGTATAATGCAGAACATGGTCCCAGCAATACACCAGGCAAATCATCTGAAGAAACAGAAGGACCAAAGGACCAGAGATCCTCCCTAAAGCAGAGGCAAAAAAACAAAAAACAAAAAAAAAAAAAGAAAGAAAGAAAGAAAGAAAGAAAGAAAGAAAGAAAAGAAAAGAAAGGAAAAAACAATGAGCTGGAAGATTCAAGAGCTACATGGCCTGAGCTTATAGGTCTTGAATTCTGAATAATACCTACTCATTTTACAAACAGAATCTTTAATTCATTTGAATTATTTAACTGAGTATGATGCTTGAGTGCATTTAATATTTCCTAGGCACTTTGATCAATCAAAATGGTAATATTACTGTTGCAAATTCTCTCTTATAAGAACATTTAAACATTATTTTTTCTCTGCCCCAGTCCTGACATAGTGAAGCTTTAAAAGGTTTTATTTTATTTATTATTTATTTATTTAGATGTTTGCAATAGGGTGTATGCACTTGCCATAGAAAGACAGAGAGAGATAATGAGGGGGAAAGTGAGAAGTAACCCCCCGGGGGCATGACCACACTGCAATCCCTTCTCCTCTAGTCTCCTTTCAGGATTGTAGGCTCACACACATGTGCCTGGCATGAGTTTCAAGCCACTGGGTCTGGCACTCAAACCACAATTGGTCATGTGGGAGGTCCAGTGCCTTAACCACCACACCACCTGCTGGCTCCAACTTAAAAAAGTTTTCCTAAGGTGTAATTATTTTATTTCCTGAAATTTAGACATGAACACACACACACACACACACACACACACACACACACACACACACACACACACAGGAAGGGTAGTATGTATGACTATAAAAGAAAAAGAGAAAGGTAGACTGTACTACAGGTATATCTACCTCAATTAGACCAACACATCTGATTCCATGATCATATTTTAATGCAGTATCTAGTAAGAATTTGGCAGCATCTATTCTTATTAAGAGTCAGAACTTCTAGCCATTACTGCACAGGCAAAACATATGTTATGAGGCAAAGTTCCATGCCTAGGACAACTTTAGGCCTTTATGCTCCATGGTTTGAGTATCAACCATACTCTGGATATAGACTGTGCAGCTAAGGAATTGCTACAGAAAAGAGCATAGCTTTGTCTGGCCTTATTATTTAAAATCAGAGTGACGGAAACAATAATGTGTTAAATAGGAAAGTATCCTCAGGATCTTGGGGTAGGTGAACATTTTCTAACAGGCATGGATGGCATTAGCCATGAAGTCTATAAATTAGACTGAATTATAATGGTGAAATTCTATTCATTAAAAGAAATCATTAAGAGACTAAAAAGGCGATTCACAGAAAGGATGAGGATATTTGAGAAGGTTTGACAAAAAACTCCTCTTTAAGACACATATAGGACTCATATACAGCAATAACAGAAAGATAAGCAACATGACAAAAAAGCAGATCCAACTTTAACAGACCAAAAAAATAACTCAAGGGACCAGCAGATGGTGTGATGATTATGTCACTGGACTCCTACATAGCTGACCGTGGGTCAAGTTCCAGACCCGGTGGCTTAAACTCACAGCAGACATATGTGCATGAGTGCCCAAGATCCCGAGAAAAGAATGGAGAAGGGATTGTGGTGTGGCCACCCGGGAGGCGGGGGTGATTTCTCACTTTCTGTCTCTCTGTCTCTGTCTTTCCAGTGAGCACATGAGCCCTACAGCAAAAATGTAAAAATTACATTCAAAATGGGGGCCAGCTGGTAGCATGGTAGTTGAGGCAGCTGGATCCCACATGGCTTTGAGGTTTAAGTCCTGATCCTGGCAACTTGAAAAACACAGCAGATGTGTGTATGCATGCATGCATGCTCAAAAATCCTGAGAGAATGGAGAAAAGGGGATTGTAGCATGGCCATCCCCTTGGGGGGTGGGGTGGTATTTCTCTCTCCAGCAAGTGCATGCATCCTATAACAACTAAAACAAAACAAAACGAAATATCAAAATGGCCAATAAACATACGGACTAATACTCAACTTCATTAGTCAACAGGGAAATGCACGTTAAAAGCACAGTGACAGGGACCAGCAGATAGTGTAATGACTATGTCGCTGGACTCCCATGTAGTCAACTGCGGTTTGAGTCCTGGAACTGGTGGCTTAAACTCACACTGGGCATGTGTGTGTGCGTGCCCAAGGTCCAGAGAGGAGAATGGAGGAGAAGAGATTGTAGTGTGGCCATCCCCCCTGGGGGGTGATTTCTCACTTTCTGTCTCTCTTTCTGGCAATTGCATGCACCCTATAGCAAAAACCTCTCCCCCCCCCCAAAAAAAAAAGAAAGAAAAAAAAAAAAAAGTACAGCAAGACTACCACATCCACATCCCCACTAGAATGGCTAAGAAGAAAAAGGCCGAAAACAAGTGTTGGTGAGGGTGTGGAGCAGTCAGAACCCTTGCACACTGCTGGTGAGAGTATACTAGTTGCTACAACCACACTGAAAATAAAAAATTCTCAATCCCTAGGTGTGATGCCACACATATTCACCAAGTGACAAGTAATAGAAGTTTATAGGAGACTCCGTAAGAGCCTCAAACGGGACACTGCCCAAATGTCAAATGCCCATTAACAAAAGAATAGACTGCAGACAGTAAAAAACTTAGTAATGAGAATGATCTGTAGCTAACACAGCAGTATAGATGAAACTCATGGACTTACTGTTGAGTGAAAGAAGTCAGACACAAAGGAATCTATACTGTATGATTCCAGTTATATGAAGTTCAAAAACACCTGTACCTACTCAGGTATTAAAAGTCAGGACAGAAGTTACCTTCTGTGTGGAGCAGTGATGGAAGGAAGCTGGAGGGTGCCGGTAATTGTCAGTTTCTTACCTTGGGTGCTAGTGAATTTGGTGCTAGTTTATGAAAATGGAAACAGCTATACACTTACGTACATTCTTTAAATTTACAATACTTCAATTTAAAAATAACAAAAAGAAAACTAGCAAACTCTTAGAATGATGACAATTTAATTCCAAGTAACTATTTTTTTTCCTCAAATATCCAAAACCTTTTCTTTGCTTACCTGTAAAAACTTATTTAATTGATTCTTTGACTTTTCCATAAACTTGTGATCTATAGATTTGAAAGGCAGCTTGCTAAGAGAAGGCAACTGGACTTTTTTTAAAGAAGGAAAACACTGTGGGGGAAAAAAACCTGAGTGTCAGTATTTTGAAATTACATTTTTATCTTTCAAAAATTTCAGAATTACATTATCTTCCTCTTGTACTCTTCCCTTGAGATTTAAATCTATGAACGCCTATATCCATTCTATTTCCACTAGATGGAAAAGTTAAAGCACATCCCAGACCTACAAACGCCCAGCAGCTGGGAAACCCTGAAGCCAGGCCTACAAGGCGTGTTTACACAACATGCACAGTAGCACAGCATGCCGGGTACAGAAACCTGGCTCCCAGGTTTTCTGTTAGAAGGTGTTGTGTTTACAACATCTTTGCAAGAGTTACTATACTTAGCTATAATGAGAGTAAAATATATTAATAAATAAGAATAGACTGCCCTTCACCAGACATTGTGCTGGAGAGTGACATGTGTTTGTTATTCCATCCGTCAAACAGCTCTGTGAAATTTTAGAAAAATGAAACAGACAGTGAGAATTGGAAGGAAAGAGTAAAACTGTTAGGGACCCCAAAAGGTGCTTCCTGTCAGTTGTCTATAGGAAGAGTTCTCATAATAGGAAAACTCAAAGGTAAGAAAAGAGCCAGGTCGAGACCAGCAGTTGGCATAATGGCTACGTCACTGGACTCCCATGTAGTTGACCACAGTTTGAGTCCTGGACCCGGTGGCTTAACCTCACGTCAGGTGCACATGTGTGTGCATGCCCAAGATCCTGAGAGAAGAATGGAGGAGAAGGGATGACTGTGTGGCCATCTCCCCTGGGGGGGGTCATTTCTCATTTTCTGTCTCTCTGTCTCTCTCTCTGTCTGGCAAGTGCACACACCCTACAGCAAAAACCTCTCCCAAGGGGGAAGAAAAAAAAGGAAAGAGCCAGGTCATTGGTCTGTAAGAAGAAAAAAATAACAATGAGACAAAGGATAGACATGGAATTTTATAAGGTTTATTTTTTCTAATGCTTCAATTTTAAGTGTGTTTTGTTTTAAATTATTTTTAGATTTTGTTATAGGGCATGTGCACTCTCCACAGAAGGAAAGTGAGAAGTCACCCCTCAGGGATGATGGTCACAATGCTATCCCTTCTCCTCCGGGACTCTCCCAGGATTTTGGGCACACACGACAAAGGTCCAATGTTTTTCAAGCCACTGGGCCGTGACTCGAATCATACAGACAGCCATGTGGGGCCAGCACCTTAACCTGCATGCCACCTGCTGGCCCAGTTAATGTGTTTTTGATTTCCTCAGTATATTTGACCTTCCAAGTACGATTTATCCTAAAATCTTTCCTAGATTCCTTTTCTTCCTTCCATTTTCATCAGCAGCTATAATATACTAAACTTTGTTTTCATAATAGTTTGTTACATTTTTTCTTTTTGTTCTTTTTTCCCCTCCTTTTATTTTCTTCTTACTCTTTTTTCCCCTTACATTCAATCACTGTAATATAGTGTGTTCATGCTGGGAAAACAATACATTATTCTGAAGTGTCAATTTTATACAACAACTTTGAGAAAATTCCTTTTTCATACTGAGATAAATATTTTGTTTCCCACGCTTCTGGGGCATATGCACACATATGTGAATCTGAAACAATGCTCAGTACTATTAATGCCACCACCACCATCACCAGTACCACCACTAACAAAAATCGTAACAATGGGTCAGCCTGTGGCGTAGTGGCTAGTCATCGGGGTCCCACATGGGCCAACCACACAGTTTGAGTCACGGACCCAACTGCCTGAAAAATGTGAATACCCAAATCTGAAAAGGAGGGAGAGATGGAAGATAAGAGATTATAGGGTGACCATGCCACATGACCACGACACTTTCTTTTTCTGTCTCTGTAATCTCTTTCCAGTGAGCACACATCCCTTCTGGCAAATAACAACAACAAAAAAAAAATCACAATAATATTTTCTATGTGTCGTACATTTTTCTAAATGCTTTGTATATATTTATTCCCTTAATTTTCACAACAACCCTGTGAGGTAGGTAAAGCAGGTACTAATGACATTTGTATTCCATTAATGAGGACAAAGGCACAAAGCGATTGAGTGACAAATCCCAGGCCATAAAACCAGTAAGTAGCAGCTCAAGGAGTCAAAGTCTAGTGGTCTGGCTCTAGAACTGTGCTTTCAACAGTTGTACTTTGCAGCCTCCCTTAGGTTAAGTGGTAAAATCCAATAGCAGCTATTCTCTTTCTATTGCTGTAACTCATAGCTGATTTCACTATCTACTCATGGGTCACAACCGACAGCTGCAAACCTATGGGCCCTAGATCTCTTCTAGCTCTGGGATTCTTGAGCACTTTAGAGTGAAAATCAGACAATAATCTGTCTTAAATGATTAAGATAAGATAGTCTGATCTATGTGTAAATTTCCAGATGTCAGGATAAAGATGCCACCTTGCCGATATCAACAGCAAAGGAGAAATATTAATCCATTTCCATACAAGTAAAATGAAATGAACTTTTGAATCTCTTCTTGCCTAGTCATTCTAGAATATGCATCCACAAGTATTCATACCTCACTCAGTTTCCGGTGTAAATTCTGAAACTCACTGAGCCTTCTTGGGACTGTCCAATTCTTAGTTTCAACTCCTCCAACTTCTTGTAGGCTTACTGTGACAAAGTAACAAGGCATTTGTTCACCATTCTCTTCCGAAACCTTGAAAGACAAAACGAAACAAAAGAACAGAAAGCATGGTGAGAGGATACAGCAGGAAGACTAAAATGTCCCCAGAATTTTCCTCTCCCTGGTGTGCCCTGCATAATTCCCAGAATGACGCACTTGATTCTGGTTATGTTATCCGGCACCGTCAATGTTAAAATAGGGAGATTACCTAGGTGAGGGCCTCAACCAATCAAATGCACCCTTTAAGCAGAGAGATTTTCCTGGCTAGTAGTGAGAGTCAGAAAGGTCTGAAGTCCAAGAAAGAAACCAGCTAAAAAACAGAGACCTCGCGCCTACAACCACAAGGAACTAAATTCTGCCAATAGCCTGAATGAGCCGGGAAGTGTATTCCTGAGGCTTCTAGACAAAAACTCGGTGTGGCCAGCCTCTTGATTTCGGCCTTGTGATGCAATGAGCAGAGAATCCCATCATACTGTGCTGTACTTCTGACCCAACAGAAGTGTGCACTAATAAGTGGGTGTTATTTTAAGCCATGAAACTTCTTACACAGGGAAAGAAAAACTAATTCAGCAGACTTAACATCCTGACTGCATTTCCTTGAAAAAAACAACAAACAAACTGACAAGTTTCAGATACACAGAAAATTATTTTCAAAAGACATAATCTCCTCTCCCTCTTAGATAATACCCTCCCCACACACAGAATTCTGAATAAACCACTCTTATTCTTAACAATAATAGATAGGAGAAAAAGCAAATAGAAAAAAAAAATCAAGCTTGAAGATAGATAAACTGAATTAGAGAGAAAGTCTAAGAAAGGCAGAAAAGGATAGCTGCAAGATTCACTGGGGACCTGGCAGAGGCCTGTGAGGTAGGAATATGATCCCACAATAAGTGGGGGAGGGACAGAGGAACAGACAGGGCAAGAACTCTCCCAGGGGAGAAAGTGAATTCACACAGTAGAAAGTGAATCAGCTGCAGCAGAACTCAGGAGGTTCTGCTCAATGGAAAGTACATGCCACCAGATCCTGTGTGGGCCAGTGGGCACAGACAGTCAGCTGACCTACTATTTCTATTCCCACTGTCTTTCCAGTGACCAAGCCACTATAGCAAGCTCCCGAGTAATAATGATTACCAGAGCAAAGTGCCTTGGAGGGTTTCCACTCCCTTCTTCTCTCCCTCAATAGGACTTTGGAAGATTGTTTTAATATACTGTAAGTGTCAGAGGGAGCTCTAAGTAAAACTAAGAAGGTGACACAATTCGTTTTCTTTCCCTCTCAGGTCTCCTTCACTACCCTTTTGACATGACACACCTGGACGTGCACCCAAATGGAAGCCCATCTGCAATTACCAAGGGTTTCTACATGGCAGGCCAAGATTAAGTTCAACCTTCCTAGATCCACTGCCCCTCCCTTCCCTAGAAAAAGGTATATTGTCCCATAGCTTACTTAAGGGGAGTGCCCACAAGCGCCATGGAGACATGCTTTGTTTTGCTATCTAATCTAGAGGTGAAAGAAGTTGTAAATTTTAAGTCCTCCAAAGAATGTTGAGTCATTGCTCTGTCTTCAGAGAGGAACAAAAACAAGCCATTCAAAACAATGGAGGGTAAAACTTTGGCACCATTTGGCTCAAGATCTTGTTATTTGTGTGTAGGATGGTGGACATGACTTAAAGCTCCAGGTTTCCATATAACCGACAGTAGGAGTATTAGAAAGGAAAGAGTTGTCAACAGTAATGATATAAATCTCTATAAGCGTCTTTCATCATAAATAAGATTTATTTAGAGACAGAAGAAAAGGGATATAGTGTGTTCTGCAAGCTGTTACCTATATCCTTCAAAAAATACCAAAATAATTAAAACACACACACACATATCCATTATTACAAGTCCTAGAGCTACTGAGATTTAAACTGGAGCCAGCAAGATGAAACAATCACATACACTTAAATTTTCATTTTTCATCTTCAAATTTCAAGAAGTACTTCTCATTTTATTCCAACCCTGAATGGAAATCTAAATTAGTAATTTGATGACATTAATTATCACTATACCAAAACTCCTCATTATTCTAGTGGACAAGGAAAGCTTTCAGTCCGAAGTGGAATGAGATCAGATGTATACTAACCAACCTACTATAGTTTCCAGTCATAGGTAAACTGGAATGAAACTACGGGGAAAGGAAAGTAGAACAATTGTGGCCTACAGGAATGACTCTTAACTTAACTCACAAAAATCTTGTCTTACCAAGACAAACTTTTAAAATAAATCAGGGGAGCAGCAGGTGATGTAATGGTTATGTTACTAGACTCACATGTAGTCAACCACAGTTTGAGTCACAGACTTGACGGCTTGAAACTCATGCTGGATGCATGTGCATGCATGCCCAGATCCCAAAGAGGAGAATGGAAGAGAAGGGACTGCAGCATGGCCACCACCAACCCCCCCGGGGGGGGGTGACTTCTTGCTTTCTGTCTCTCTGTATCTCCAGTGAACATATGCACCCTATAGCAAAAAATCTCTGTAATAAATAAATAAATAAATAAATAAATAAATAAATAAATAAATAAATAAATATTGAAGGATTGGGGAGTGATGCCACAGTAAAATGTGAAGCTCACGAGGCCGACCCACTTAGGAAGGTCCCTAGTTCACGTCCAGAGACCTCTCTGAGTTCACCAGACACGTGTGTGCCCATGATTCAGGGCTGGCAAAAGCTGGGGGTGGATCATGGCATCAAGACGCTGTTGGGGGTGCTGCCTTTCTATCTCTCTCTTCTCAGTGACAAAAGGAATAAATAAACTTTAAAAATAAAATAAAATAAATAAATTGGAGGGGAGTCAAACTTACCTCTCCACTAGTGATGGAAGCTTTCCACATACCTAGGTTCTCACACCACCAATCTGTTCTTGCCATGTGCAGTTGAAGGTCTGTGCGTTCCTTCTCTATTAGAATTATTTCATCCTTCAATTTGGAAACAATCTACCACAGGAAAAATATCCTGGTAATTATGAAATCACTTAATATGCTATATAATTCAGAAAAGTAGAATACAAAACTAACACATACAAATCAGCTGTGTTTCTATATTCAAACAATGAACAATAAAAAAATATATGATTCCATTTATAATAGCATCAAAAAGAATAAAATTCTTATGAATTAATGAAAGAGGTGAAATATTTTTATTATGAAAACTATAAAACATCAATAAAAGAAACTGAAGAAGACAAATGTATATACAGACAACACATGTTCATGAATTAGAAGACTTAAAGTTAAGATATCAATACTACCCAAAGGAACCTACAGATTCAATGCAATCTCTATCAAAATATCAATAAGACGTTTTTGACAGTAATAGAAAACTCCTCAAAATTCATATGGACTCTCAAGAAAGCCAAAATGACTTAAAAAAATAAGAACTAAATTGCAAGATTCATACTTCCTGACCTCAAAACTTACCACAATGCCACAGCTACAGTGTGATACTGGCATAAAGACAGACATACAGATCAACGAAATAGAATAGTGCCCCAAAATAAACCCTTGCATATATGATCAAATGATTTTCAACAAGTGTTCCAAGACCATTCAATGGAAAAAGGACAATCTTTTCAACAAAGGGCACTGGGAAAACTAAATATTCACAGACAAAAGAATGAAGCTGGACATTTACCTATACCATATACAACAATTAATTCAAAATGGTCAAAAATCCAAACCTAAGAGCTAAAACTATGTAAAAATCTTAGAAGAAAACACAGGGGGGAAAACTTCATCTGATTTGGCTATAATGTGTTGGCTATGAAATCAAATGTATAGACAACACATGGGGCCAGCAGGTGGCTTGGTGGTTGAGGTGCTGGACTTCTACATGGTCAACCCCAGGTCAAGTCCTGGACCTGGTGGCTTGTTCTCTCTCTCTCTCTCTGATAAAATTTAAATAAAGGAATTAAATAAGTCAAATTAAATATTTCTAAAAAAAAAAAAAGGTCAACAAAAGAAAAGACTGAAAAAAATGAGACTTCATCAAAATAAAAAACTACTGAGTATCAAAAAACACTATTAATACAATAAAATGGCAACCCACAGAATGGAAGAAACTATTTGCAAATCACATATGTGATAGGTGTAAGGTTGCATACAGTAAAATTCTCCTGAGTACCATCAGGTATTGCTCTAGGCCTGACAAGGAACCAAGGCCAAACTTCTGCAGAAACGGTCTTGGCAAGAACCCACACTGCTACTGCAAAGTCACAGTGACCCAGGAAGTAGTAGATGAAGATTCAAAATGAGTACTGGGAGGTCTAACTTCCTAGAGATAAATCAAAAAGACCCACCAAATGTTTCATGTATGCTTACCCCACTACACCTAATTCCCCTACATATTAGTCACATATAAAGTCTCCCAGAATAGTTAGATTACCCCATAAAAGAAACCACCTCCTTCTTGGAGGGCAGGCTGAGGCACCTGGCTTCAAATCCCAGGTACTCTTTTTCTCAGTAAACTTTCCTTTTTTTCTTGAGATGATGCCTCCTGAGTCTTACTACAGACTATGACAATAGGAGTTTAATAATCACAATATGGTAAGTAGAGAACTCAACTTACTAAAAATACTCAACAACAAAAAATACACCATTAAAAATACTGGCAAGGGACTAGCAGGACCCCCATATAGTCAACTGCGGTTTGAGGCTCGGACCCAGTGGCTTAAACTTACGCCGGGCATGTATGTGTGCATGCCCAATATCACAAGAGGAGAATGGAGAAGGGACTGTAGTGTGGCCATCCTCCCGGGGGGTGATTTCTCGCTTTCTGTCTCTCAGTCTTTCTAGTGAGTGCACGTTCCCTATAGCAAAAACCTCTTAAAAATAAACAAAAAAACAAAAACAAACAAACAAAAAACATTGGCAAACAACATGAATAAACATCTCTCCAAAGAAGATATATCAATGGCTAATCACATACAAAAAGATGCTCAACATCATTAATCATTAGGGAAAAGGAAATGAGAACCACAATGAGATTGATTAGATACCACTTTAGATGAGTATAGTCAAAAAAAGAGAGAGAGAAAAAGTAAGTGTTATCATGGCTATTGAGAGATTGAAACTCTTCTGCACTATTTAGTCAGGATGTAAAACAGTACAAGTGCTGTGGAAAACATATTATGGTTCCTCAAAAAACTAAAAACAATTACTCTGTGATTCAGTAATTCCACTTCTCAGTATTCATCCCAAAGAACTGGAAGCAGGATGTCTAAGATTCATTTGTCCGTCCAAGTTCACTGCAACATTATTTATAATAACCCAAAAGGGGAAGCAAACCAAGTATCTACCAATAGACGAATAGATGAACAAAACAAAATGTGGTATATACTTGCAATGGAGTATTATTCAGTCTTAAAAAGAAATGAAATTCTGATACGTGCTACAATATGGGTGAACCTGGAAAACATTAGGCTAAGTGAAATAAGCCACAAAAGGACAAATACTGTGTAATTCCACTCATCTGAAGTATACAGAGTTGTTAAATTCATAGAGACAGAAAGTAGAATGGTGGTTGCCAGGGGCTGGTGGGAAGAAAAGGGGAGTTATTGTTTAATTAATAAAGAGTTTCAGTTTTTCATGATGAAAAAAATTCTGATGATAGATAGAGTAGTGGTTACAAAACAGTGTGAATACTTAATGCTGTTGAATGTTACTTTAAAAATGATTAAAACAGTAAATTTGCTATGTGTATTTTACCATAATTTTTAAAACTGATTTTTTTTTTTTTTAAATGCTGTGCTCTTCATCTTTCTGGGCTTCTGTTGTGAGAAAACCTTTAGGGTTATGTAACTGTATTGGACAGCAATTTTGCCAAAATTCTCCTGAACAAAATTCAATTATCCTGAAGTGTCTACAAGGTCTCTTTTC